TGACTAAGGATGTGAGCAAAGGGGCCAGGGAGATGGCTCAGTAGAATAAGTGCATCCCTGGCAAGCACAAGGGCCTGAGTTCAATCCCCAGTTCTGCCAAAAAAAAAAAAAAAAAGAATGTGAGCAAACCGCGTCGCAGACGCCTCACTAAACACACCATGTTCGTGCAGGACATGATCCGGGAGGTGTGCGGCTTCACCCCCTACAGTGGTGCGCTGTGGAGCTGCTCAAGGTCTCCAAGGACAAACGCACCCTCAAGTTCATCAAGAAAAGGGTGAGGACGCACATCCGCACCAAGAGGAAGCGTGAGGAGCTGAGCAGCGTGCTGGCCGCCATGAGGAAGGCGGCTGCTGAGAAGGACTGAGCCCCTCCGGAATAAAGCTTTGCAGGAAAGGGCGGGGGGAGACATTAAATTTGAGCCAAATGTTTACACAATGAGAATAAAAGATACTGGGAAATGATCCTATTTAATACCAAGTAGAAACCAGCTTCATACCCCATAGCTAAAATGCATGAACCTGGGGGCCGAGGAGATGGCTCAGTGGAATAAGCGCTTCCATGGCAAGCACAAGGGTCTGAGTTCAATCCCTGGTTCCGAAAAAAATAAAATAAAATAAAATAAAATAAAATAAAATGCATGAACCTCAAGCAGCAGAGAGGTTTGCAGGAATTAGAGGACTGTGCAACCCTAAAAGCTCTGGAAAGGCCATCCCCCAACTCTGAATAACACACAGAAACAAGAAGGACCCTGAAGAGATGCGAGTCACTGCAGCTCATCGTGGCCTGCAGATCCTACCATGTCTAAAGCAAAAGCTAGGGTTTCCTGGGAGCTTGTATAAGGGTTCTGCAAAATGAGTGGGGTGGATTTTTTCTTCCCAGAATTTGAAAAAAGGCTGGAATGAGAAACTGATAAAGGTATAAACCAGAAATGATGAGATAAAATAGAGCCCTAACAACCCTGATATGTCCCTGGCTTGAGAGCCCTGCTTTCCTTCTAGGAATGTGTAAGGAATTTTAATCCAAGGGAGTGTAAAGTTCGCAAAGACAGCAGGGAGACAGGGGATGGGAGATTGCGGCTGTGGTCAGGGACTGCAGGCGTGGGGAGGTGGGGCTACTCTGGACAGCAGAAACAGCAAGCCTCCTCTACGGGCATCCAGGACCCTACCCACGCATCCTCGGGTACACAGACGGACAGGCAGGGTGTTCACACCAGAAACTATCCTCAACATTCTTGCTTATAACCTGAGTCTGCTACCGCCTTCCTTCCCTGGAACGCACAAAAGCAAGACTGCTCACAGGTGACACTGGTGGCGAGGAGAAGAGGCCGTATTTTATTCCAAACAGAAAGGCGATTATTCTCACTTCATAGATACAGAGAACAACACATAGTACACCATTACAGACAGAACAATTCTGAAGCACGCCTGACAACATGGGAACATTTTCCAAATTCCACCTAGAGAATTCCAGCAGATTTATAACCAAGTAGTATTTGTTCTGGTCTGTCTGATACTCACATGCACAAGCACACATTTGCGGACAGCGTATGCATGCATGCTGGAGACTGAACCGAGGGTCTTCTCACTGAGCTAAATCCCCAGCCCCACCTCCAGATTCGGAGACCGACTCTCGACTCTCACCCAGTCATCCAGGCTGGGCCTGAATGTGCAATCCCACTGTCTCGGCCTCCTGGAGTTCTGGGTTTACACATATGTACTGCCACACCCAGCTACACATCCCTGTTTAAAAGTGGCTGCCTTCATTCATTCATTTAGGACCAGAAACATAAATTATATATATATTTGAGACAGGGTCTCACTATGCAGTTTAAGTTGGCCCCGAACTCACTATGTAGCCCACGCTGGCCTCGAGCCCAGTGATCCTCTTGCCTCAGCTCCAAAGTGCTGGTATTACAGATGGGCAATCTAGCAAATGTTACACTGGCAAAAAAGGATACATCTGGCAAACAATATCTGAAGTATCATTTGTTTTTGTTGTTTTTATTGTCGTTTTGGGGGATTTTGGGTGCTGGAAATCAAACTCTGGGCCTCATGCTTGCCAGGCAGGCGGCTATGCCGCGGAGCTAAATCCCTGGCCCTAGTGGCATTTAACACCAGACACTCCAAGGAATCCTACGGAAACTGTGATTGATAAATTCTATAACAATGATCTGTAGTAGTGCCTGTTACTGAATGAAAGACAGGAAGAATAACCCAAGGCTTCACCCTCTACGTGGCTTTTTAATCCCAAGAAATAACATGATGCTCTCCGAACTGACAGTGTGACCTGAAAGGTACATAGACACTGTGAAAGGGAAAGAACCTGTTCAAAGGGAGGGAGGAACCGGAGTGAGGAAAAAGACAGGAGGGGAGGCGGGGAGATACCTTCTGTAGGCATGTAGGGCAGCTTGATAATTCTGCTGACTTCTACTGCTTTACAGAGGGGAGCAGCTGATGCTTTTTTTTTTTTTAGTCTTCAATTTCTCATAATTTTTTAAAACCAATTTTTACATGCTTCTATCTGGTAACCTGAACAACTAATTTGAGACAATATTATACAGTACAGCAGTAACCATTTTCTTTTTTGCGGAACTGGGGATTGAACTCAGGCCCTGGAGCTTGCCTACTGAGCTATCTCCTCAGCCCCCAGCAACCATTTTCAAATTCCTATTGTTTTGTTGGGTGAAGTTCTGTATCATTTCTTTTCTTTTTTTTTTTTTTTTAATGTATTTTAGTACGAAGTCCACAGGGTGTACAGGGTCTTATTACACAGATCAGACTCGCAGTGATCCTCCTGTTTTCAGCCTCCCAAGCGCTGGGATTACAGGTGCGTGCTACCACACCCAGGCTCAATCACCATCTCAGTGCACCCCAGGGATGGGGCCGGCTGGGCACACCAGGGATCGAACCCCAGCCACTGTGCTCTGCCTAAGCAGGCGCTTTAGCTATCTGGCTGGCCCTCGTTTCTTTTTTCTTTTACATTTTGTATTCTCTTTAGAGAGAGAGAGAGAGAGAGAGAGAGAGAGAGAGAGCGCGCGCAAGCGCACGAGCGAGCTAACAGTATGACAACAGCATCTCATGGATCAGCACTGCCCTTGTTTTGTAAATGGACAACTGTGGTTACCTCAATTTTAGTTATTTGATGCCTTACGGGAAAGGCAGCATGCCTATATTTTAAATTTCTGTAGTGTGCAAAGGAGATACTGGACCAGGGAAATGGCTCAGTAGAGTAAGTGCTTGCCTGGCAAACGCAAGGGCCTGAGTTCAATCCCCAATTCCGCTTAAATAAATAAATAAATAAATAAAATAAAAGCAGACACTAACTGTACAATTTCTTTTGTGAAAGGGAGAAACAGATGAGATGCTGGCTAGCTTGCTTCTCTATAAGATGTGTGGAATGGCAGGTCTGGAGTGTTTTGCACTGTGCGATGCCCACCTGCCCACTACTACTGACCCCACTGCATAGGCCACGTGACACTAAGGACTGGAGGATGGGTCCTTCACTGGAGAACCATAGCAGACGGCACACTAAACAAACTGCAGACAACGAAAAGATTACCTTGGGTGTTAGGCTCCTTTGCTGATGCCCAGCATAGAAACAGATCTCTGGCTGCTTACATGTGCTTTAGGTTCTAATTCTTAGAAACTGACTACCATAATACAAATCAAATACCACCTCATTAAAGGCCTTCAGTGGCTTCCTAAGGTACTTACGATCACACACACCCCTCCTCGGGGCAGCTGGCAGGCTCCGGATCTGGTCTCCACCTGCCTGCGTCTCCCTCCCTCCACCTCAGTGACGCTGGCCTCCCTGACGGTCTCTCAGCACACCCAGCTCTCGCCTGCACCCGGGCCTCACGCTTCTGTTTCCTTTGCTCTGCATCACTCTCCCACTGTCTGATAGCAGCTCCAACTTCCCTGAGGAGCTCAGCTTAAGGATCACTTCGGGGAGTCCTGTCTTGGCCATCTCATCCAAGGTGGCCCCATCCAGTCCTACCTCTTGCCAACACCTCCACCAGCTAATTTGTCACAGCACTTCCCAGGCTCTCAAATGATCTTGTTTCATTTTCATAAGCAATCTGGACCTTCTACATATAAGCGTCCAGAGAGCAGGTGACTCTCTTGTACTCTCCATCAGCACATATTAATACGCTGAGTGAATGTTAGAAATATGGTGGCAGCAGAGCAGCAGGCAGAGTTAAAGCAGAAAACGTCAATTCTCCCACAGTGAAGCCAGACGCTGCTCCACGATATATATAAATTTTGCTTCATTAGGGTGTATCCAAGTGGTGATGGCACATAAACAGAAGGGGGAGAGCCTACGCTCTCTGCTGACAACTCAGAAAGAAATGTCAAAAAGAGCAAATTCATGTCGGTTCCAGCTTTCCCTCCATTTATAACGCCACTGGTATTTAAAGCAGATTTTCTTTTTTCTAACAGATTCCAATGTTTGGTTTCATTTCTCCCCCAAGGGCTGCAGCTGTGCCCCCACCATGGCAGCACTCTGGCTCTACTCAGTCGTGCTCCTTCCCATGCTGCCCTGGGTACCCCAGTCCTTCTCTCTCAGCTCAGCTGGAGTTCACTGAAAATACCTACTCAAAGCAGGTGGGGAAAAGGCTTCTTGTCTTAACCACCTGAACGTGAAGCAAAGCATATGCAAGAAATGGGTTCTTTCTCACAACACCTCAGCACAAAACATGTACCTCTCGTAAAGGAAAAGTAACAAGGTATAGAAAGCCTCTGATAGGTGCAGCTCAAAAAGGGGTGATTCACTGGCGCCCTTCCGGCTAATGCTGTTTGTCTCACTGAACTTGATCAATGAGGACAGTTATCTTAGCTCTTTAGGGATTGAAGACGCCTACAGTGGGAAAAACGCACAAGAGAGAAGCATGAAAAATCAATCCGGTCTCCCTTGTCTTACGTGAGATGCTTCCAAGCACCCAGCGTCCACACAACCACACCCTAAAGGCAACTGTGTCCACTGCTGAGAGAGGCACTTACGCGGCATGATCCCTTGGCTCACCAGCTCCTCCCGGGTGCGGCGCTGCTGGAGCTTCAACTGCAGCACTGCAGGGCAGCAAAGAGAGAGGAGAGACGAAGCATCAGTTGGGTATTCCACCTCGAAAGACACATTTTCACATGTAAAGAAAATTTAAAAACAGAAGGGTATAGCATGAAAGAGTGAGCTCTTCAATTGCAACTGTGTGTAATTGCAGAAGTGGCCTGATACAGCATCGTTTCCGTATTCTGCTGTGGGCGGCGAGAGGAAGTTGCGAAGTGTCTTGCAGGGCGATAACAATCCACAAAGTTCGAGAGTCTTGCCTCTTGCTCAAAACCTCCTACAACATTAGGTCCTCCTCTAAGACTGAAAAACACCAATTCTGAACTTAAAATATAATGAGGACCAGCATGCAGCTTAAAGAGCTTTCCAAGCGCTGTGTGCTCTTTAGTGAACACTTACACTGTTACTGTTAAGGATGGTGGGCGATGCAGTTTCTCTCAGGGACCAGGAAGTACTGGATAGTTGTAAAATATTTTCTTTTGTATCTAAAACTTACAGCTATTTTCACCAAGCCATGCATTTCCCTAGACTATCAGGTATTTTACCATTAGTACACTTCATTTCCTCTTCTCACGAAGCCTTTTCTGAGTGACGCTAGGTAACTTTTCATATAAGCTAGATGATTAAAGCACATCTGGGCGAGCAGAGAATAAGGCATGTTTCTCCTGTTTTCACTCTAGACACACTAAACAACTTAACAGGAATTTTTTATTAAGTTTAAAGTTAATTTTACCTATTTCAGAAGCCTGTGGAACCTCATGAGTGTAACGACTACACAATGTGCACCATGATGGTGCAGCCATTGTCCAGAGACTACGTGAGAAGTTCAGAAGGGGTTAGGTGCGTCCCACAGGCAAAGGGAAGCCCCCTTCGTGACAGGTCTTCGACTGTAGGGGCTCTGCACGTCCTGAAGCCACAGTGCCCAATTTAGGCCTTTTCCACAAACCAGTATTTGGGGAGGCCGCTAAGAACAGGAGAACAAACATAAGCCTCCTGACTATGTCTCAGACTTACTAATTCAAAGCAGAACTCACCTTCCTCCAAAAAGCTCAGCCTGCTTTCCATCTTCTCACCTGGTCAGGGGTCGCTCACTGCCTTCCCAAGTACTACTATGTATCCTCTGAGCCTGCTTCAACTCCTCCACCTCCCCACTCTTAGTATTTTACCTCGCAAGCTTTCCCAGGCTGCAGTGGAAGCTCCCGGCTGCACCCTCACCTGGACTCTGCCATTCCCTAGGCGTTCCACTCACAGCTGCCTGCTAGTCTTCCCCACCTTTTTTATGCTCTTCACCTGGAAATGCCCACCTTCTTTATCCGACCTTCTAGGCTCTCCAGAATTTCTCTGGGCTTCCTGTGAGCTCTCTTTTACTGTTACGAAAGGTACTGCAGGATCTGACTCTGTGAAGTAGTTATCCCCTGAACATGTCTCTTACTAGCTCATAAAGTCCTGAAGGGTGAGGAATATTCCCATTGATCTGTGCTTCCATAACTTCACACACAGTAGGTTTTTTTTTTTTAAAGTTTATTTATTGTGTGTGTGTGTGTGTGTGTGTGTGTGGCCAGCTCAGCCCACCAGGGGGCGGGGCTGGCTGGCATGTGGTGCTGGGGGATTGAACTGCAGTCCCTGTGCTTTGCCAAGCTTGTTCCAAGTAGGTGCTTTAGACCACTGAGCCATCTCGTCAGCCCCCACAGTAGGTTTTTAATAACTGTCTTGAACTGGATCTCGAAACAGCAACACACACACACACAGTCTGAGAAATGTAACCAAGAGATTATTATTTTATCTTTTTTTTTTTTCCAGAACTGGGGACTGAACTCAGGACCTTGCACTTGCCAAGCAAGCACTTATTCTATTGAGCTGTTTTCCCAGCTGAGATTATTATTTTACAGATTAACATTTAAAACAAAGCCTTGAAGAAGTAAGTAGATAAAATAGCAACAACCACAGTAGAAGCTGACATTTAGAGAATGTATTTTGTTCTATATGCTTCTGTGATTTCAATAATTTAATCGCCACTCTATGGTGACAGGTACTACTAAACCCATTTTACAGGAAAGGAGAATTAGGCCTGGAGGATTTAAGTAAACATTTTGGGGGCCAAATATTCTGGTTCCAGAACCCGAGCTCCTCACTTTGCTTTTCCAGCACCTCCTGGAAACTTGCTGCACTGAGTTAACACAGCTGGAGTATGAACACCTTGGTTCATCACTGTCACTAGTGACAGCACGAAAGGGCTGAAGAAAATGGCTGTTTCAGACCAGGGTCAAAGGCCTTTAGATGCCAACTTCAGTAAAACGAATTTAAATTAATCTAGGAACTTGATTTCAGAATAAACTATAACAGATCAGCAACACCAACAAATATTTTTATAAAATATGAATAATAGAAACCACTGCATATGTTTTGATGTATCAAACTACGTTAAACAACTGATGTGCTTTTAACTAATCTCTCTAAAGGGTGGGGGTGTAGCTCAGTGGTAGAGCACTTGCCTAGCATGCGTGTAAGGCCCTGGGTTCCAGCCCCAGCACTGGAAGGAAAGAACGACAATGAAACAAGAAACCCTGTGAGGATGGTATAATCATCACCTATGCTTTACAGAAGAGGAAACTAAAGAACAGACCTTTAAAATTCTGCCTTTTATCACATAACTCAAAGGTGCTGGAACTGTATTAACACTCAGGTCTCTAACTACGAAGTGTGAGCAGTTTATAGTGTGCAATATGTCTTTGTAAGAAAGAAAAGGGAAAGCCCAGTAGGAATAAGGGAAAAAGGGATAAAAGCGTAACTATGTGTCATAAAGCCCCGTGTAAGATACACTACATGAAAATGATTAAACTTAACAAATAATTTTATTTCAGGACTTTGGGAAACAAGGCAATTCAATAGGACTATTTCATGCCTTTTCCCCCCTTAGTACCGGGGATCGAACTCAGGACCTTGCGCTTGCCAGGCAGGCACTTATGCCACCGGGCTATTTCCCCAGCCAAGCCTATTTCAAAGAAACAAATAATTAGTGAAAGCACAGGCTATCACCCAAGAATAAGTTTGAATTATCAATCAATAGTCCTCCTAAGTACACTGCACAGGGGCAGAGTTACAAGGGCTATTATATAAACTTGCTGAGTGAAAAAATTCCTTCCTGGCTTCACAAAAACAAAAGAATCTGTGAGAATTAATATGCTTGTTCTTTAATTGATTTCTGCTTCAAGTTCTTCATGGCAAGCACAGCAAAGATCCATTCAGATACGCACAGAGCTCTAGTTCAAAGAGGAAAGCTCATCTAATAAGCTTTTCAATTTTGAAAACGAAAGGAAATTACAGTTCAGTTACCTGAAAATTCCATCTCATATTTCCCAGAATTTAATTCTCAACTCCATGCTTATCTAAAATCTGGCCAAGTTTCCTATTAAAACAGAATGTACTATGCCTCAGTATTTTCTTGAATATTGCTCCCAGCTGACTGCAGGTACGTACACATTCCTTAACTACCTCCAGTTATATCTAACAATGTTTACACGAGGGGGAATGACTGAAGCAGCAAATGGTCATTTATGGCTGAACTGTTTTATTTTACTTGCCTGCGTAGATTTTCATTGATCCTTCTATAATTTTCAACTACAGTGACACGGCATTTCTATAAATTTCCTTCTTCCATAGTTATCTTTTGATCCCTTTTAATTCTAAGTACTCGCGATACAATGATTCTACACTTCTAGGCCTTAGGAACTACTTTAGAAAATGTAATAGCTCGCTTTCAGTACACTCCACGGAGCTGTATGTTCATGATCACTGCTGAAGCCACCTCTGTCAGGAGCATATTTCAGGGACCACAACTTTAATGCTCAGACAGTCTCAAAAGAAAAAAAAAGTCTAAAACCAGTTCGACTAATTTATTTTCACAGACAGTGCAAGTCAGGAGATCTGAGGAGTAAGAATGTGACTAACCGACTTTGCTGTACATCTCTGCTTAGATTTCCTCATTACACCCTAAGTCAAAAGCCAACAGAAATACCTACTTGTGCACAAATCTAAGGCTTTATGCCTTCACTGTTACTGAACCCCACAAATTTATATATCATCTGTTTCTAAACAGGTCTGTGTGAGCAACCTATATATAGCTGAACAGACGTCTTTAAAGAGATGGATGGTGAATCAACTGACCTGCCTGCCAGTAAAGAATGGGAAGAAAAATAAAAACACAAAGTGGGAACCCCGAGGCCAGTGGTGCGAACCCATGACACGCGCACTGCATCTCACCAGAAGTTCTACAAAGCTCTTCGCCATCACTGACCGCCCTAGGAACTCCTTTCCCCATGAAAATTATCAAGGTTTTCTCCTGCCCTGAACATCTTTCCCCTTCTATCCTTCAGAGAGCAGCCCCAGAATACAGAAGCAAATCCAACTTAACCCAGCACTGGACACCACCACCTCTAGCTTTAAACTGGAAAATATGTTTTACTGGAAGATCAGATTAACCTTATGGGAAGCTTAATATGGTGATAAACAGAATATTCCTCTTTGAAGCAGTGAATTATGCCTATTTTATTGGTTTGTTTAATTCCATATGCCTAAAAAATCACTTAGCAACACCCAAATGGTAAGAACAATCGCTCAGAACTAGAGGCAATTCTGAACACTCACTAGTTTCGTTCTTAGAATGTACAATTAAGAGTAGGTAAAAGGTACCCCCAAGAGAAATCCTGCTGCCCGCATTACTTCCTAGCATCACCAGTGCCGGAGGGCCTGGGAGCTGAGCTGGGGAGAGTGCTGCCTATTCATTCCCCTGATAGGAATTTATTCAATCGCCTATGGTCTCTGTTCATAGGAAGCCTTCAGTCCAGCGAGGAAACAGACAACACTGACAGCAAACAGATTTGTACAAGTTGTAATAAATGTTTTAGGGCTGGAGAGATGGCTCAGTGGTCTAAAGCACCTACTCGGAACAAGCTTGGCAAAGCACAGGGACCGCGGTTCAATCCCCCAGCACCACATGCCAGCGAGC